ATATTTTGTATTGTTTTACTGTTTTATCTGGCATTATGCCCTGTAAGCTGCCCTGAGCCTCCGGGCAGTGAGGGATAGAAATGCGAATAATAAATAATAAATAATAATAGTTCTGTCAGAATTCTTGAAAAAGCAGTTTCCGTCAGAGCTTTCAGCCCCACCTACCCCACAGGGTGTCTGTTGTGGGAAGGGGAAGGAGTTTGTAAGCCGCTCCGAGACACCTTTGGGTAGTGAAGGGCAGGGTATAAATCCAATCTCTTCTTCTCCTTGTCCTCTTCTGCCGGAGGCCTATATAGCTATAAGCCATAGTTCTGGCACAGCTGTTCTTGAAAAAGAGCAGTTTCTGTCAGAGCTCTCTCAGCCCCACCGACCTCACAGGGTGTCTGTTGTGGGGAGGGGAAGGGAAAGGAGTTTGTAAGCCGCTCTGAGACTCCTTTGTGTAGTGAAGGGCGGGGTATAAATCCTATCTCTTCTTCTTCTTCTACAACTGGGTAGTGAAGGGCAGGGTATAAATCCAATCTCCTCTTCTGAAAAACGGAGGCTTTGGGTTTTGAAGAAAAGGATTCACTGCACAAATGGAGGAGGCGTTTATACGCTCAGCGATGCGCCTAGGAAGGGAAACGCTTCGAAGGTGGTCTGTCAGGGCTGTGCCGTAGACCTTATTTTGGTCTGGGGCGGGGTGGGTGCTAGTCTGATTGGCCCTTTCAGTGGCAACTGAACTGGATTGGTTTCTGGGAATAACTTTGGTCCGGGCTGTGAGGGGAGGGGCTGTGGTTCAGGGGAAGAGCCTCTGCTTTGCATGCAGAAGGTCCCGGTTCAGTCTTCGGCATCTCCAGTTAAAGAAGACCAGATGGTAGATGAGGGGGAGAGAAGGTGGCATGGTATAGCCTGATCTCCTCAGATCTCAGGAGCTAAGCAGGGTCGATACTTGGAAGGGAGAGCACCAGGGCAGATCCACTTCTGCTTCTCATTTGCCTTGAAAGCCCCATTCTGGGGTCAGCTGGGATTTGACTGCATTTCATACCCACAGTAGGTGATGTGTAAGACCACTACCTGAGAGACTGGAGAGTCACTGCCAGTCTTGAGTAGAAAATAGTGACCTTAATGGATCCATGGTCTGATTCAGTATAAGGCAGCTTCGTGCGTGTTAATAATAATAACAATAATAATAATATATTTCAGTTTATTGATTGCTCAATCCTTGCAGAGCTGCCGGCTCTGAGCGATTTACAGTTACTCACGTGTTGACACGGAGGACAACATATATCATTTTTAATCACACACACTTCGTAGTCGACAGGGAGTTTGGTCAGCTGTAAGCATCAGACGTGTTCCGGCAGCATTCTTTAGTCGGCGTCGCTTGATGTCGTCAGCATTTTTCTCAGTCGCAGCGCACCACTGCCACCGTCTGGCCGGAATGGTCCATTGCAGGCTTTTCTTTGATGCTGCGTAGATCTCTCTCGGCTTTTGATCTTACACGCGGACCTTCCGTTTGTCGGCTAACACTTCCCACCGGGAAGTGTTGCACTGCTCTGTCGCGGTCTGAAGGCTGCGATCACACGTGCCTTTAGATCCGACATAGGGGCGAATGCCTGCCGGATCTAAAGGGCGCGATCAGACAGCAACATCTGGGAAGCGTCCTGCAGTCGTCGGCAACCCGTGCTGCTCTGGAGTAAAAAGACATCAGGGAAAGTCCGGTAGTAAACGGGTTCTGACAGGTCACAGATGGACTTTTCCCTGTCTGATCGCGCAAGCACGCACGCATACCGTTGGGATGGTCTGATCAGGACATCCCGGCTCAGTGCCGTTTCCCTTCCCCCTTCATACTATGCACATCATCGCATATTCCATAGGGGGGCCTCGGTGCGGAGGTGCGATTCCTCGTTTATGCGCATGGGAAAGAAACTGCAAAAAAAAAAGCCGACTCGCCCGCAGTTGCGTCTGATCTCACAGTGACAGGCTGTGCTACAAAGGACTGTGTGATCTTGCAACCGTGGGTCAAATTCCTCTGGAGGGAATAGCCTCGCTTCCCCTCTGCTTCAACTGGCACATGTGACCGCGGCCTGAACTCTACTATAGGTTGGGCCCTGCATTGTGCATTTGATCAAACCTCAGGGGAGAGCCAACTGGTCACTGGGAAGTTTCATTTTACGCAGGGGCGTCTATATATTGTGGCATGCGCTCGACACATTAAGCAGCAGGTATTGTGCAATTAAGCGTGTAGGTATGCAAATCAGCGGTGCCAGCCTGGCACGATTCCCAGTTGCCTCTTAATATAGAATGAATTATTCCCCCTCTTTTTTGTGTGCGCGCTCGTTTTCATCTGGCTGGATCTGTTGAAAGGCACACGGCTACAGTTCTAGTAGGTGAGGGTTTCTTTCCCTTGCTTTATAGTCTTACTGGTGGTCCTTATCTGTATTTCCCAGGAAGCAAATCCAGCCGAATACCACGAGTGTGCCAAGTGAGCGCACATATGACTGCATCTTTAATGTAACATTCTGTACTCCGGGGCTGTACCCTCATCTTCATGAGCCTCTTTCAGACAGTTGAAGTTCCTACTTCAAAGCTTGCTTTAAAGTATCTAGAGGTTAAAATAGGCAGCTGCCCCCCATTTTAGCTTTCGGAGTGCAGTCCTGTTTGTCCAATTGTGCAAACCATGTCTATAAAATAGTTTTTTGGGGGGTAAGCTTGCTTGCTTGCTGCTTTTAGCAATCTTCCTCCTCCCATTAAAACAAAAACTCTCTATCCAGAGATAATTCAAAGTCACACAAATCTGCCTTCGCAAAAACTGAGCCTGAGATTCGTTCGTAACAAATTCTCCAGGTCTCTTTGTAGCGGCCAAGACACTTAAACAGAGCCTGGCTGAAGTTTTTGTAACCAGAGCCTGTGCCTTCATCTATATTGTCGTGTTTGTGGAGTGGATTTCTGAGTGTGACACGTTGTGTAGCTGAAGGCACAGGCCCTGACTTTTAGATGTTTTTGGACTCTGTTAGGTTTTAAGATGCTGTTAGATTCTCGATTGTTTCCAGCCACATAAATCTCCAATTGATGGAAAGAGCTCTTGAAATATGAACAATTCATGCTGTTCACCAATGAGGTTGGTACCCTACCTGTCAGCTTCCTCTTGCCCGCTACGGTGGCCAACCTCTAGGCGGTTAAATACAAGAATCCCCCCCCCCGTGAGCAAATTACAAGAAATATATTCAACACCTATCTATATATCTAATAGCCAAGTTGCCCCCGGAGTGCGGATCGCTAAATCAGCGCTCTGGGGGCACTTGGGGGGGAGGGGGAGGTTTGTGCACACGTGGGCCAGTCCCCACGTGTGCACAAAAATGCTAAAAGTAGAAAAAAATTTCGGGGGGATGTTTAAATCCCCCTGAAAGTGCAAGAGCGTTCCGTGCACATGCGCACGAAACGCTCTGTAGCTGACCTCGCCGCCGCCGCTGCCTCCTCAGAGCCGGGTGGGCAGGCGGGCGGGGGGAGGACCGGCCTCGCCGCCGACGCCGAGCCCGGCAAAGGGGGGGAAAGGACCGGCCTCTCCACCGCCGCCTCCTCCTCGGGGAGATCGAGTGGGCGGGGTTGGAGGAGACGGAGCTCTTCTCCCCCCCCCGTGAGTATCGCGGGTCCCCGTCTTGTTGAAGATACTAATATCCATGCACTCTATTCATATGACGATTCCAAAGTCTCATACGTGTATGTTTAGTCCATAATAATTTCCAGTCTCATCCAATATATTTCAAGGAATAAAGTGCCTGGGTCGAAAAACGTCACTTCGTTGTTTTCAAAATATAGCAGTTAAGTCTTTCAAAACAGTTCGTTGTTTTCAGAACATAGCAGTCAAGTCTTTCGAGCAATACACTGTCAAAGTGCATGCATGGAGACTGCAGAAAGGAAGCTGCTGTTCCACCTCTGACGGAGCCTGCCGGCCTTCACGCATCTGTCTCCAAAAAGCTTTTTTGAAGAGGGGATAGGGCGTTGTCCAGACATGCAGTACTGCCACTCCAATATGAATAGCCCAGATTCTCTTTTTTAAAAAAATATTTTTTAATTCTTATCATATTAATCTTTATTTTACACAAGCAAGTAGTTATAACATCAGAAATATAACTTAACTGGTACATAGGGTTGCCAGGTCTGGATTGGAAAATACCTGGAGACTTTGTGGGTGGGGCCGAGAGAGGGCGGGGTTTGGGGAGGGGCCTCGGCGTGGTGCAGTGTCATAGAGTCCCCCCTCCAAAGCAGCTGTTTTCTCCAGGGGAGCTGATCTCTGTCAGCTGGAGATCAGCTGTAAAAGCAGGAGATCTCCAGGTCCCACCTGGAGGCTGGTGACCCTACTGGTACATGTGATAAAACATAAACAATGTAGGTGCGATAAACATGAAACGTCACATGAAATGCATCAATACAGCAGTCTTATGGTATCCAGAATCAAAGAATACTCAGGTTTAGTGGATAAATAGTCCAAGAAGGGGAACCAGATTGAGGTAAATTTCAAATCAAACAATTCTGTAGCCTTCCAAAGAAGAGAATCAGTAAGTTTGTCCATCAGACAGAAACCACAGACTTTATGTAGTCAGGCTGATATTGTAAGGTGTTATTTTTCCAGGATTTGGCAATTAAAAGTTTGGCAGCTGCACATAAAAGGATAATCAGTCCCTCATGAAGTGGAGGTGAAGGTACAGCCCAGATTCTCAGAAGCAATTTACCGGCGGTGCCTGGAGATCTGGGTGGTTTGGAGGGTGGACTGTGTGGGATTATACCCTGCTTGAGGTCCCTCCTCAGGAATTTTCCCATCTTGGAGCTGGAAACTTTCCCTTCCCCCCATCCTGTTTCAGCCAAAGGCAGTGAGAATGTGGGTTCTGACCCTGGCAGATCAAATTGAGAGAGACATCTTGCTTGTATATTAATCAGTTTTCCTTTTCTTGCCTGGTCTCTAACGGAAGATTAGGTAACTCTTCAACAGGTAAAGCTCCCCCTCATATAGCTTAGTGTGTAAGGTAAAGGTCGAGTCCGACTCTAGGGTTGCGGTGCTCATCTCAGTTTCCAAGCCGAAGAGCCAGCGCTGTCCGAAGACGTTTCCGTGGTCATGTGGCCGGCATCACTAAACACCAAGGCGCACGGAACGCTGTTCCCTTCCCACCGAAGTGGTCCCTATTTATCTACTTGCAATTTCTTGCTTTCGAACTGCTGGGTTGGCAGGAGCTGGAACTAGAGACGGGAGCTCACTCCGTCATGCGGCACCCGGGTCTCGAACTGCTGAACTACTGACCTTCCACAGCCTGCAGTTCAGTGTCTTAACCACTTGAGCCACCCCAGCTCCTTGCTTAGTGTGTACAGGACGCTTATTTATTGCCAGCTTTTCTCCGTGATCAGGAGCCAAAGCTTCACCTGTTGAATTTCTTATGCCATTATTACATGTCTGGGGCAATAGCGTAAACTTCAATTCATCTCTCGTGCAAAGGCGCATGCGCAGAACCCAGAGGCTCGAGAGCTCCCGCCTTGCTGGGCCAAACGCCGGTACAGCGCATGCGCCTCGCATCCTTGCATACCGGTGCGCCGTCGGTGAACTCTGGCAGAGCCAGCCGCGTCCACGACTAACTGGTACGCATGCGCTGTTGCCTTGCAGGAGGGAAGGCGTATACGCTGCCTGAAAAAAAAACAACTCAAAATTTCTGAAGGACGATCCCTTGAGAGAAAACCCGAAAGCCTCCCTGCCTTTTTATCGAGAGCGGTGACCATGGCACCCGACGGGAAGCATGTTTATGAGATTTCTTTTTCATTCAGGCACCAGTGTGGATGCCCTTACAGGAAACGGGTCACGGGACCTGAGTGAAAGGGAGTGGATGGACCCCGGAAGTAGGAAAAAAACACTGTGGGAAAGAGAAACGTAGAGGGAGGCAAGGCAAGCGGAGCGGCGTCTCTCGGGGGCTGGGAATGGGGTTGGGGGGGAGGAGGTAGGAGCTTGGGCGGGCGTCCCGTTGGCTGCAGACAGGATGTGGGAGGGCGTCGGGGAAACCAATGGGGGGCAGCCCCTTTGAGGAGGGCCGGCCAAAGGAAGGGGGCAGATGGGGAGCGGGCGCAGTTTACAGCTCTTTGCGTGGAGTAACTGGGGTGGGGGGTGGGCCTGGGTATCCTGGTGATGTTAGGGTTGCCAGCCTCCATGTGGGGCCTGGAGTTCCCCCGGAATCACAGCTGATCTTCAGATGGCAGATTATTTCTTCTGGAGAAAACGGCAGCTTCCGAAGACAGATTCATTGGCGTGCTATAGATTCGAGGTGCAATCCTTCTCCAAATTCTCCCTTCACAGGCATAACCCTCGAATCTCAGCCAGAAGAATAACAAAGCCCTGGGTGCTGGTAGGCAGACACCACCCATCAACAATGTGGCCCTAGTTAGGGAATTTGGAAGATATATGTAAACTGCTCAGAGACCTGCCTAAAAGGTTAGAGCGGTATATAAATTGAATGTAAATAAATAAATTAAATCTCCAGCAGTTTCCCAGAATGGGGTTGGCAGCCCTACAGGCCATGGTTGGCCGCTGGATGCTCACGCCAGGCAGGGAGGCGTGTTGTTCCTTTCAGGGTGCAATGAGAAAAGAACCCCCATATACATAGCTTCCTTCTATGGCGTCAGGTCATTGGTCTGTTCATGTCAGTAAAGTTCCCCGGCTGGCAAGTGGCTCTCTGGCAGAAACCTTAGTCATCACCTGCTGGCTGGCTGGTTGGCCAGCCGGCCGGCCCTTTGAACTGGAAATGCTGAGGACTGATTCTGGGGCTTTCTGCACACCAAGTGTGTGTTTTGCCACTGAGCTGCAGCCCTATCCCAGAAGGGAAGGATAAGCCAGGAGGCATTTTCTTTGTGGGGAATCTTATGGATGTGGTCGGGGGGCTATTTTTGGAAGAAACTGCCTTGCTTATTTCTCCTGGTTATTGGTCTCTTCATAGTAGCTTTGCAAAATTCTATAAGTTACTAGTCGACTTGTTCTGCATTTAATTTGCCTGCTTGCCCACATAAGCGCGCAGGTGCATTAGAAGAGGAAAAAGTAGCAAGCTGTTCTCCTGTCTACAAAGGCTTTCCAGGTTGCCAGGCATACCAGACTGTGGTACAATTGCTATTTGGCGTGTAGAGGTAAGGGCTGTGGTGGGAGGCTGAGGAAAAGTTAGTACATTGTGCCTGGCCCTACAGCAGGACTATAAGAAGAAAGTCTTTTGCTCACTTTCCCTGTTGGCTTCATTTCTGTAGAGGGAATGGCTGAACCTGCTACAGTAAACAAGCCGCCATTGGCCGAACATCTTCTTAAAAAGCTTCCAAACCATGATGGCCCAAGTGATCTACCAACCCGGGAGCTGCTGCAAACTTGTAAACTGGAACCTGTCTGTGTCGAGGAAGAGGAGAGCCCAACCGCAGTGTTGCCAGTCTGCCCCAGCACACGTAGTAAGGGCAAAGACTCCTCCAGCAGTAGCACAATCTGTGAGTACTGTGATCTGTATACTTAACAATACAGCTAGTAAGTTTCATTTAGTATTGCTTGAAAAAAACGATGTCAAGTTAAATTAAACTAATTTCAAAACTGAGGTGTGTACCACAACTAAACCAAATGTGCGTTATGAGGTTATAGAGAGTATTCAAACTGAGGAAGTTAGCTCACATAAAAAGTAGTTGAAAATATATTTGCTTGTGAGGTTGGAGGTCATTAGAAAATATGTGTTCTAGAAAAGGTAGCCATTTTAGATGTGAACCGAGGTGAACTGATCTAGAATTGGCTTGTCTTATGTGGTCTCTGATTTTCTCCATTATAAAGAGGTCCCAAACTTTAGAGTATCACTGGTTGATCGTGGGAGGTTGGTGTGACTTCCATTTTGAGGTAATAGATGTCATTGCAGCAACTATAAAACCACATGACAGCATGCATCCCTTGTCACTAGGAGGACAAGCTCCTCCGGGGCAGTTGGACTCTGTCCCTTCCATTAACCACCTCTCTTTTTTTCCCTTTGGCTATGGAGGCTACGTGTGCTAGGTGACCACACCTCAGAAAGGATATTACAGCATTGGAAAAAGTGCAGAAAAGGGCAACTAGAATGATCAAAGGGCTGGAACACTTTCCCTATGAAGAAAGGTTAAAGTGCTTGGGGCTCTTTAGCTTGGAGTAATGACGACTGAGGGGTGACGTGATCGAGGTTTACAAGATTATGCATGGGAGAGAGAAGGTAGGG